TTTTTTTTCTTGCAGGACTCGAGTTTGTCCTCGATGGAGAAACTGTAGATGTATTAGAACCCGTGCTTGTGGACATGACCGTAGCACCGGTAGATTCAGATGTGACTTGCGTCCTATATGTGACAGCAGATTCAAGGTAGATCTTTAGCTTATTTTTTGTTGAATTTTTAAGTTTTTTTCTCTATAGAGTAACTGAGCAAGGTATCCTATCGGTGTGCAACGTGGTCCTACAGCCAATGTCTGCTCTGTGCACCGATGACGATTTTGAGGTGCGGAACTCGCCCATATATAATATTCGGTGGTCTGTGAATTCATCGGCGATCTATAGCTGTGCCTGGAATTCTAACAAGACCCGAATTGCACTTGGTAAGTTCCATTTTTAGGAATTTCGTAGCAGTTAGCGAATGCTTGTAGGGATGGAAGACACTGCAAAGATCATGGACGTTATTACGGAGAAATCATTTGTGATATCGAGTCGCCGGAGGAACGTTATAAGTCAACACTTTACCACTGTAAGTTGCTTTCTGTTATACTTCATCATCTATACCGCGAAAAAAGCTTATCTGCAGGATGGGGACCTGATTTACATGGGTTTGAGGGACAGTGATGTAATTCTATCTGACTTGCGCATGAAAAGCCATCATGTGACTGGTTCCTTAAAAGGTTTGACTATTTTTGATTTTTTTGTCATGGCATGGCATTGGCTCAACTGAAGCATTTTTGAGTGTCTTATTTAGGCTCTCGATCGGCAGGCTGGGTTCGGCAACTTCGCTTATCGTATCCACAATGCGTACTCATAGAGAATTTTCGGGGCGAGGTATGCATTTTTAGTGTAATCCTATTGCTCTTTCTAATTTTTGCAAGTCTTTCGTTTGAATATCTCTTTTTAGCTGAAACTATACGATCTTCGGCGGTCGGATCGAGAGCTGATGTCCTTCAGCGGCCATCGAAACACGCACTTTCGCTTGCCATGTACAGTGGATAGCCAAGAGAACTTTGTGTTTGCAGGTATTGTGGTTTATTTTGTGTACAAATAGGATTACAGACCATTCACCAGTATGTCATTAAAATTTTTTCCATAGTTTCGATTACCGTGAAAACGATGTGTAGGTGATGCGTGATACTGCGGGCAGTGAGTGATACTAAGCTGTTGTGCTTTGATCTTCACTATAAATGTAGCGTAAACAAAGAGAACACGATTATATGA